TGAAAAGTCTTCTCAGAGCCTGGCTTTGTGCAATTTCTAGCTTGTGAATAGTAGTGTTTGAAGCTTTGTTAAACGCTACACAGCCATATAGAAGTGACCTACAAATTATTCGGTTATATATCAGTTTCCTGTTCTTAGCATTGATATTTTCATTTCTAAATAGAGGTTGGAGGTAATAACGAATTTTGGCACAGCTAATTCTTTTTAGTTGAACATGTTTAAGCCATGTGAATCGTTTGTCCCAGTTTATCACCATATAACCCATTCTCACTCTCGACAGATTCTGTATCCACTTACGCGTTATAAACAGAGCTTTAGTTTTTTTCATATCAAATTTGAATTTATATTTGATTGCCAATTTAAGTATTTAATTTATTAAAATTTTTTAATTATAGTAATTTATTTATATTCATATGAATAATATAATTGTTCAAATAACTATAACATACGTTTTGTTATTTATATTTTTTTCATATACGTTTACATCTAAATTTCGAATAAAAGCTTATATGAGAAGTTTTATCACATATCACCTGCATGTGCTCAGCACAAGTCACATGCAATAAACTTATGAGCTTACATATAATACTCTTAACTATTTCTAATAGTAAAGCTTTACATACAAACAACATATCATTTAATGATTAAAGTTAATATTAATTAGTTAATGATTTATTCATGATATAACAGCAGAAACTAGTTGCGTAATTTTATTTACTTCCTCTTTATTGCTATTAGAAGTAATGGGCACATTATCCTTTCTGCTGCACAAGACAAGAAAACCATACAATATTTTGCATGGCATTCGAATCCCAACAATGGTTTTATGTATAACATAGAACTGTTATAGACACTTCGAGTTGCGTTCATAAAAGACAAGACAATATGGCAGGAATTATTAGTATTGTCAGTTCATTGAAGAAAATTGGGTTGCATAACTTTAGTTGTTTGACATGTTTATGAAGTGGTCGGGGGAAACGTAAATCACAAACAATGTTAAGCTGTCAACGATATAGTCCAAACGCACGCACATACAAACAATTCACCAATTATAGCGTTGCATGTAATCATAATAGCTAAAGGATAATTGTGTCAATATGTAACGATTCGTTGATATTCAATGAAAGGATCGAAGTAACTTCCGACAATTCAAAATATTGTAATGGCACTTACAATGCCAACAAATGAAGTTTAATCAGAGCGCAACTTAGTTGAATGGATTTGACATCCTGTAAAACGGAGTGTATTTAACTTCAATTTGTTTGTTAAATAACTTCAATACTTCAATAAGTTTTTTGTTACATTTGAGTTTAGTGCAGTTTAAGATTAGTTATTTAAGAGAATATTTAAGTTAAGGTTATTATATTAGTATACCTTTTATTTTATGGGAATAAATGATATAGAGTTATTTAGTTTATTATAATATTTGTAAAGCACAATCTTTGTTAAACATTAGAGAAATCATGTATGAAGACAATTAAGCAGTGTCATAAGGCAAACAGTCACATTAACGCTGCTTGTACTGAAAGGTACCTTAAAGTACATATTAACTATATTTACTAATTTGGTCATAGCAATCCGTTACCGGGTTTCGGCCTGATACAGCGTGTCTCTCTAGGCTCCTCTGCTGCTCCTCTGCTAACGCCCGGTTAGTGCTCCGTCAACTTGCTCGCTGCAACGGAGACACAGTCTACCTCTACGCTTTTTGCCTCCAATTACTGCTTCAAATATCTTTTTCGCTGGAGTATTTTCATCTATTTTCACGACATGACCAAGCCAGTGAATCCCCTGCATATTAATTCGCTGAATTATATCAATGTCGTGATAAGGGTCATACAAGTTGCCGTTCATTGGGTTGCGGTAGTTGCCGCCAACTCGTAGAGGAGCAGAGATCACAAATAACTTCTCATCATTCCGTGATAACGTCTATGCTTCTGTACCATACAGAAGCATAGGAAGGATAAGCGACCTATAGAACTTGTCAAAATTCTATACTCCAATTGCCTGTCCTGAAAATCACAAATAATTTCCCTACTTAAAATTATATTATTTATGCAAACACATTTAGCATAGAAGAAACAGATTTTCAATTACTTAAGTCACTAAAGATCATATATTCACTTGCGTATAAAAATTAATTTTAATCATAATATCAAAGTGACAATCTCATAGCACTAAGCAATATATTTGAAACTGACATAAGCAAATTAGTATAATAGAATTCTATTAGAAAATTTGATATATCATAAGCTAAAACAAAAGCAGTCCATAAAAAAAGGACACTCGTAATTTTACATTAACATTTGAAAAAACACAAAGCCATGGCAATAGACACAAATAAAAATATAAGAAATACACACACTCGTACTCGTACGTATATTTGTTATATTTTCTCTTATTTTTACCACATGTACACAAAAATCCTTTTACTATTTATGGTCATCTGAAACATGTTCAAGTATGAACCGAATTATTTATGGGCTTGTTTTTCGGCACATGTTTTATTATCAAAAAACGAGAAAAATGAATGCAAAATAAAAATTTAAGTGAACATAAAAATCCCAGTTCTACACATAATATGGCTCCAACGATGTTATTAATAAAATTTACGAACGGAAGCACACACAAAAAAGAGCCAAAATCCTGAAAAAAGGCCAAAAGCATTGAGACTATCCATGAAGCTACCGTTAGGTTACATGAAATTCCGTTAGCCATGTTACCAATATTCAGCATTTAATAGCAACACCAAATAAGAGCGACACGCCAAGCGCGACTTTTCATCGTGTTGCAGTCCACCAGAACAGTGCAAATATTCGTTGTGTGGTTAGTTTAAGCGCGTGGAAAAATTAACGACGAAAAAAAATTAGATACATAAAAAGTTGGCATGATTTGTAAATACTGAAAAACCGCACTAACATGTTTTCTATACAGTGAAACTAACAATGGCTAACAGGAAGCTGAAAGTATCCAAAAATAAGCTGTAGTTCAAATGTACAGACGGGCAGATCAGCTTCTATACTCACTCACAAACAAATTTCCATATTCCAATGTGCCTACTAACACAAAAAGCCAAAGTATCAACGAACTTGGTAAGGTTGAATTCATTTGTGTCCTATCAGGAGTCCACAAAATCTGTACCGTTGGCCGCTGACATTGAACACCATGCATGCTCGGGTCCTGTAGATGCGTACATATTTTACCAAGAGCAATAATAAACTGCATGAAAATTCGTTAAAACTTATGATTTTATTTAAATGCGGCCGTTGCATTTAAAGATAGAGATAGCTATTTTATGCCATAGAAATATTTTATAAAACAAGAAAAAAATAAATTGTTTTAATTTTCAGACATTTTCAAGACTCGGTTAGATGCGATTCTATGAATTTATAAAATACTAGTGCTTTAATTTAATTTCGATTATTAATTAAATCTGATTTTTGAAGTTTTTGGAGTTTCAGAAATATAAAATGTCTTCTTCGCAAATTAATTAATTTTATATATATGTAAACTTAAATCTTTAATGCACAAAATGCTTTTTTTAGTTGTTGATATCAATATACGATAATAAAAATCGTTTTTCGATTATTTAATAAATTTTGGTTAATTTAATTCTGCTAAAATTAAATCAACTTTTTTTCTCTTAGAGATCTGAGTCCTTGACAGTTTATATATCAAGTTTTCAAATGTTTAGTAAGAAATTTTTCTTGTTAAGAGATTCGAATTTTGTGTTTACAGCAAACTTGCTACGAATGCATAGATAAACATTTTAACTTAAATATTTTTCCCCAATTTTTCTCCTTCCCTTTTAAAACTAAGGATTTTTTGAATTGATTCTGTAAAAAATGCCGTTTGGATATAGAGGCTACAACAGTCTTTGTTATTAAAACCCATTTACTAAGTGTAATGGTTGTTTTAGGTTTATTTTATTGAAATAGACAATAAGTTAATGCTTGTTATAGTTTATTTTTTCTATGCAACCATTTAGCAATTAAATATATGTACTTGTATATCAAATGTTTTTCCAATTTACGACTTTGCTTCTGTCTTAAATTAACATAAGACTCTTAATAGTCGCGACATATCTGTATATTCTAAAAAGTGAGCAATTAATTCTAGATTTGCGATACCTCAAGCCCCCTTCTGGATCTGCTAAAGATCACTATTGGTTAGTCTCAAGATTTGTGTACTGAGTGCTTGTTTATTGTGCTGAATGAATTATATTTGTGATAAATACTAAACTATTTGGGTTTGTAAAAACTGTCTACTGTTCAGAAAGAATAAGTGTTAATGCTAAAATATATTTATAAAGCACGAAAATTTAATATGATTATAAGGTTGTAACAAACAAACTGCATTCCAGATTAAGGCAAATATGGAAAACAATTCTGATCTTGTTAAATAAAAATACAATTCATAATATTTTAATGATAATTTGTGTAATTTCAAAATTATTTTTGCATATGACCATTTTTCCCCTCATCAAATGCATGAAAACGTTTATTTGCGTTTAAATCGCATTAAAATTAGTAAGATTTTTAATTTATTTTTTATGAAATTAAATTTAGCTTTAATTTTGTGTACAATAAAATATTTAGTTTAATTAGAAAAGCTTGTAATCGTCTATCAAGCCAACATCTTATCAAATCAAGAGCTTCGGTTATAAACTTTTGCCAGTTATATGTTCGAGAACAAATTTTTAATAGCAAAAATACAGCAACCCAGAAGTAATTTATTTCTTTACCCCACGCATTCTAAAAAACTTTTCAGATCCAATAAATTTAATGGAATATGTACAGCAAACTTAGATATGAATTATATAAGTTCATGCTAGTATCGTATACCCATCAGAAATACAATATACCATATAGCTATAATTGAAATAATTGCGTGATAACTTGAATTCCAATCGAATCAAATGTGATTCATGAAAGTTATTCTTCAATATATTATTTAGTTTTTTATAGTTGACGTACTCGTATGATTTCTGAAAAAACACTAACTTACTGACAAGAATTACCCACAGGATTCAGTTCATGTGTGGTAGTGGTTAACCCATAACTGCTCTTTACATTATAAGAAAAGAAAATAGTTCCTAAGGGATTATACTGGATATTGTCATTCCACTACCTTTGCGAGTTTGTGCATAGCTACAATTCCGTTTATTTTTCAATTTAATTTTCTTCATTTTTTCATATTATTTTTTTTTTTTGTAAGATTTTCCAAACTTTAACATTTCCGTTGATTCATATATGCGCACAAATGTACTAAATTATATAGAAGCAAAAAATTACTTACGTACTCAGTTAAATACAAATTTGTTCTTTGTTAGTTCCATTGTGGCAGACAAATGAGGGAATTTTATTGATTTACAACTTATTTCTGTGTCTTTTAGTTTCTTGGTCTTTGTTGGTTTCATGTGTGCTGATAACATTTGACCAACTCGAAAAAGCGCACAAAAGCATTCGCATTCGAAAGATGTCGAAATGCCTCAAGGAATAAATCTTTTAATATTGCTATGCAGTGCCTTAACCGCCACTGAACGCATATTTCACACCCATTCAATTCTATTCGTATTTTCGGTTTTGTATGTACGAAATGCAGCAACTTCAATGCCAACAGCAAATTCAGTAAATTACAAAATTATTCGGACATTGATCAAGAATTTTGGGGTCTGAGTGGCCAGTGGGAGTGTAATTTTATACTAATCGAATCAGTGCACGTAAAGAAATTCTAAGTATCTACGGAATGCATTTTATTTAAAAAATTCTTTATAAAAACTTTTGTAATTCGAATTCTATGCAATTCCAAACCATTATATACTTTCAAAATATATTTTCTTGCTTTAAAAGTTAGATAATGTAAATGAACTTCATTGTTATGGTGAAAATTGTAATAATTACTGTAATTTTGAAAATTTCTTACTTGCATAAATCCTTCAGGACAGCCTGGTAGTTCTCCTGTTGGACTTAAATTTGTTTCATAACCATCTATATCTGTATCGACCATGCCTTCATCAAAGCGGCCAACTGTAAAGCTGTCGAATATTATCTGAAATAAAGCAAAATATTGTTTTTAGTACATAAACAAAACCGATTTAATGAATGAACTTTTGAATAATGTTGTGAGTTTTAGAAATTTATTGTGAATAACAAAAATGTAACAATATTAGTTTCAAAATTTTGAAGAATTTTCAATTATTGTTTGACTTTTTATGTCAACGTTAGGGTTTTTAGTTCTTCTACATTTCAAAATTACAATCTATTTCGTAACTTAAAGTAATTCTTTAATAATTGAAACATTACACAATATCGTATTTCTTTAAATCTATAACACACACTAGTATAGTAATTTGTAAAAGAATTAGTAATTTTTATAGGATATGCAAAAGATTTCTGTAGAATTATATCCGATAATCCGATATTTTATGGATTTTCATTAAAACCACATAAATTTAACAATAAATAAGGTCATAATAAACGAAATTATCTATTAATTATTTATTGATTCTATTTACTGAAATAACAGTTCTTAATTTTAGGTTGTTGTAGGTTGTTTATATCTGCGTACCTTTGCAAAGTCGTTGAGTACCAGTGATGAGTGATGAAGCCAATGACTAGGCCTTGCATTACATTCTGTTTGTGATGAGCTTATACCATTAGTGATATTTATTTCAAAACAACCAAATATTATAAATAAACCCATTTGGAATTAAATAAATCACAAAAGAAAGCATCAATCAATCAAAATATATTTTGCTGTCTTCAAAGTAATGTCTAGTGCAATGCAATTATATTAGCGCTTGATCCAATTCTTCAATTCGGTCTATAAATACGCATTTACGACCACAAAACTAGTATGTTACAGCTGTTATTAAATAATCTTTTCGAAACCTATATAGCTGATTATTTTGTAAATTAGAAACCGGTTCTTTCTAAATTTTTACTATTCAACAAGCCGATAAAAATTTCGAAGCTAATAGAATTATACTTCGTATAAGATTTTTTTGTGAACCCAGATATAATATAAGTGAATATGTTTAATTTTAGATGACTGACTAGAACAACTTTGATTTATCTGACTGTTTATCTGACAAGTTTGATTTATCTGACTATTATTTGAAAGTTTGGGCTAATGGAATGTTTTCTACATAACCTGATTGTGTTACATGCTGTGTTAAGATCAGAATTTTACCATATTAACATAATTTTTTTGAAAACTAAAAGAGTCATCAATCATAGATCCAAATTAGAGCTTTTTTCATTGTTCGATTAGCAGCACCCATTGCAAAATATGAGATAAAGATTCTCCAAAAGATGCTGAATATAGATTAGCTCCAATGGTCAAAATATTTGTCACTGAAGGCAGTGTTGCTAACTTAAAAACAAAGTCGTCAAAAACATCTTTTAGGTTGATTTTAGGTTGAAAATCATTTCAATCTTGCTGCTTTAATTTGTCCTCCATCTTTTGTATTTTGGTTTTATCTCTCTGTCCGCTAATTGAATTGAGATATACCACAACTACAATATTTCACTTTTGACTATGCAAATATTATACTTTACGGTTAACGCATCAGTAACAGTAAACAACATAAGTGCGTGTAATTTTTTGAAAGAAAGTACGAGGGAATTCAAAAATATGATTCCAAATCCAAATTGAAATAAGATCAAAGAGTAAAAGAAATAATATCTTTTTATAACAAATGAATATTTTTACATTCAAACGTAATCCTTATGTTGCAAAATTTTATTTCAACTCAAACCCATACCACAACAAAGACTGCAAGTACAGAAAGAGAGCAAAATTCTGCATCACACGTAACGTTTTTGTCTTTCCGAGAAATGTCAAAGTTTAATGTTGCCAGATTCATGCAAGTATGTAAGTAAAAATACTAGTATTACCAGAAGCAACTCAACTCATTTAATACATGAAATTCTAAAGAATTGTTTTTATTTAGAATAAAATCAACTGTCTTTGGATGAGTTGGCTAATGAACGCTGACTCTGAGCTTCAAATCTAGCATGGTATGAGTTTAACCCTTAGTATTTGCATTCTCAAAAAATTTACGAATTATTATATATAAGAATTAATTCTAAGAACACTGATGTTCTTACAGTTGTATAGTCAGCCAGTTCAATTTAATCAATTAAAATATTAAATAAATATTTGTTGTTGTAGTCCACAAAATTTTTCGAAACCTCTCTAAAATATTTATGTAAATTAAGTAAATCAGTATATACTATTTTTTAATATAACGTCATTTAGTTTACAGAGAACGTGTTTTAGTTCAATTTAAAAAATTTTAATGAATTTCAAATGCCAAGTTTCTGATTTTTGAACTATAATTTTGTTGCATTTATACTATTTTAATATTAGTTTTCCAAAATATTTTTTTAATATCATTTATATAATTATAGATGCAGTTTTTGTTAAAAAAATTAAAATCGTAAAAAATATTTTATAGTTACCTAATACACATCTAAACAGCAAAGTAGTTTGAATTGCAAAAGAAAAACAAATTGTATTTCCGAAATTTTGGTATTTTTTGAAAATTCCATTATAAACGAGTGTTTATTATATATGTTGTGTTAAATTTGTTTGCATAAAAATCGCGTTTGAAAAAATTTTTAATTTATTTAACAGATTGAAATAAAATACAAGCTGCAAATAAAATCGTAAAATATGTGTTAGCATTTTTTTAACTTCGCGATTTAATACACAATTTTTTTACAATTGTAAAAAAATAATTTATCATTACGCTTTTTCTGTATAATTTTTTCAACCTTTTTCAAGCGCAGATTCTCATAAATATTATTGTTTCAAACTAATGAATACCAACTTTTTTTAGATGAGTACAGAGAGAATTGCAGATAAAAAATGTGGTTGAGTTTCTATAAATTTTTAGCTTTTAGGCACATCATTTATTATATAAAAAACAAAAACATGTAACCGAAACAAAAAAAAAAAAATTAAAACAGAAAAAGAAAAAAATCAACAAACATTTAATCAAGTGTTTTTCCATAAATCAACAAATTCACAAAAATAATTTTTTCTCTCCACACTTTTGCACTAAATATGTAAATTTTATATGCAAATCAAAACAATAACAAAAATATTGTATAAAATATTTTATATTGCTTAGTATTGTACTGTTTGTTTAATGTTGTTTTTTGTTTTCCCTGTTGTTCCACTGTTTTAATACTTGTCCCTTCATTTCTATATAGTATGAAACAAAAATCAACCTTAGAAAAGATTTAAATATGCAAATTCAACTCCGCTTGAAATTTAAAAAATGTACCACCCGGGAAATATTTTTTCATTTTATGATAATAAATAAACTCGTATAATTCCATGTTTTGTTTTCTCATAAAACATATTCTTTTACTATAACGAGAAAAAGCATGTGCTACTTTACTTCATACATTTTTGTATTTTGTATTTTGTTTGATGCTTGTAATGTTACTGATGATTCTGATGTTTCTGATGATGATGAATGTGTTTCTACTGGTAAGGAGTAACTTTATTGCAGCTGCATATTTAGCATCGTAATAAAAACACAAGGTCACGTTAGCATTAGACGTACTCATACTATACCCGTACTTTCTGCTAACACATTTCGAGCTGTATCTAACATTATAATATACATAAATATATCATAAACTTCAACAATCATTTTTTATTCCTGACACAGAGGCATACATATTACGACATATTTATGAGACAAAGGTTTTAATATTGACTTTAATTGCGTGCATAGTAGATTATGTTAAATTATATTGAATATAAACAAAAAAAAAAACAAAAATACTGATTTCATTATTAAAAGCGATACATGCAATAATCTGTGGCCTTTAAAATCTAATTGAAAAATAAAAAGTTTAATGTATTAATAAAATAAAAATCCAATTAGAATTTCTCTAAATACTTCTTAAAATATCATTGAGTCTTATTTTTAGTTATATATTTTTAATTGAATCCACCTCGTATCATATAAAGTATTTTTACTTTTAACAACTTTTAATAAATATTTTTTCTTAAGAAATACATATAAGTTTTTACGATTATTTTATTTTTTTCTTTTTCATTGCAATATTAACATTCTTAATTATTACAAGTTTCGGTTCACTACTATAACTACAAGGATTAAAGCACTCAAATTAAAAATCTTATCTGGCAAAGTTTTATTCTTTTCTGGTTGAAATCATAAACTTGTAAAGCACTTTTTGTCACCATAATATTAGAAAAGGACTTAAGAGTTTTCTTCTTCATCAAATTGAAGTGCTTTTGAGGAAGCCAGTTTCCTTCGTGCTTTATATTATTTTATTTTACTGCTTAACGAGTTTACCCTACAAAATTTATTGAAGTGATTTAGTTTGAATGTAGCATAAAAAATATTTTAAATTAAAACAAAAAAGCATATATATCTATATATATAGCATTAAAATACTATTCTTTAAATTATATATAGGTATATTAATTTTGAATAAAATTAATAAAAATATTTAAAATAATAAAAAAATGAAACCAAAGGATGCAGAAAGTAATTAGAAAACAAAAATTGTTTGGTTTTTTTTAAGTGCTCAATGTAATAATAGTTCCTGAATCTGGAAGAGATTTTCATAGCAAACCAGCATATCTATTTGAAGCTATGATAAAACAACCGTAAAAATTATTTAATAAAATTGATATTTGATGAATATGGTTTGATGAATATATTGATATTAATGAAACCATGAAGTTTCTTCCTTACAACTTTGGGTTTTCTAGTAAGCACTCAATAATAACTTAAGCTAGAAAACATTAC